GAATGAAGAATGAAGGAGAACATCACCAGGACTTGTTTAAACTAATTATTTGTAATTCCTATGGATCACAAGAAGTACAAAAATTGACAGATGATGACAGTACCTTGAAACTAACTAGTGAGACCCTTTGTAATCCAAACTGTGTACATGTCTCTATTATCGTCCTTAGGTCAAACTTATATCGGTTGTGATTGGGAATTTGAAGATAAAGAGACTCATTACAACACAAAAGAAGCTGATGTAAGTGGCGCCTACACTTCAATACCATAATATTGATGTACATGTGCTTTGTCTGTAGGCATATGAAGAGCATGAATCATGCAGTGCAACCAAAGAGCCCAAGAAGCCAATTACAGTCTCCGGGTGTATGGATCTATTTGTGAATAAGGAAGTGCTAGGAGAGGATGATGCCTGGTATTGCCCTCAGTGCAAGGAGCACGTGCAAGCTAGTAAGAAGTTTGATCTGTGGAAGATGCCCGAGATATTAGTCATACATCTCAAGAGATTCTCTTATAACAGGTACAGTAGATGAGGGCCCTCACTTGTAATGGATGACTTTCATTGTACTTTGTTGTGCAGGTACTTTAGAAACAAGATTGAGTCGAAAGTTGAGTTCCCTCTTGAGTAAGTTTTTATGCAGATACCACCATCCTCTATATTTTGGCATGGTGCTCATGCAGCTTCTTGTCAGTGGGTTTTCAAGTTGCTCAAAAGTTAGGGCCAAGGGGTATTTTGACAAAAATCACAAGGAGAGAATTTCCCATTTTTATAACTTTTTCTGATGCGTATACATGTACATGTACATGTACTTATATGTGTAGAAAATTTGAGTTGATTCCGATCAAATTTGAATTTTTAAAGTTTTTTCCAAATGCCATGTTTATGAAGTGTGCTGTTGAACTCATACACTTAGCATGCTTTGTGGGAGACCCTGTTCTTAGGCCAACTTTTATTCTGACTTGTATTATAATCCTTTGCTTGCTTAGGCTCTTCTCTTATATTTTACTTTTATCTAACTGTAATGCAATAATTATTAATAAATAATAATAATGATGATGATGATTACAGTGTACGTGTATATTAAATAGGAATTTAGATCTCTCGAAATATGTGGTGAATGAAGAAGAGCCCCAGCCACTCTATGATCTGTTTGCTGTTTCTAATCACTTTGGTGGGCTAGGAGGAGGACACTGTTAGTCTTTATAATGTAGCATAATGTATTACCATTCCTCTCTGTGTAACAGATACTGCTTATGCTAAGAACAAAGATAATGGGAAGTGGTACAGCTTTGATGATAGTCATGTCTCTGAGGCATCAGCTGACTCAATATGTGTACGTAATATTATCATTCACCACCAACCATCACTCTACACAGCTGCAGCACACACCATATTTCTCTCATATAATGTACATTATGTACATGTGAAAAAGCAAAAAGCATTAAATGTTAAATTTTGCATTAAAATAGTGATAGAAAGTTACATTTAGCATTTAGGAAACGTCTACATGTAGTCTAGTATAATTTATAGCATTATATTAAGTCGATTTATTATCAATTTTGTTAATTTTTTAAATGCATTTATGTTATTTTTGTCATTGCTATTTTTATAGTCATCAGCTTCTTATCTCTTATTCTATCAACGTAAGACTGAAGGAAGGCGTAAACCCGAGCCTCTTAATCGTTCTCTTAGCGTTTCCTTTGATGAAGAGGTAAAGGAAGAAAACATCAAGTTTCAGAAGAAGCAGCAGCAGCAACAGCAATCTAAACAAGCGAATCTCATCAAGGAAGAAGCTGAAGAAAACCAAGATGGAGAGGTTTTAGAAACATCATTATAACTCGTTTTAATTTTTGTTATTTTCTTTCTTGTTCTCTTT